TTAAACAACAACCGTTAACTATTGTATACTCAAACAGTTATATTTATCAAATCCGTTATTTACCATCCGCTACATATTTTTTGCTATCCGCCATCCACTATCTGCTAATCGCCACCGTTACCTACTACCGTTATCCGTTATCCGCTACCCACTATCCGCTATCTGTTATCTACTAAATTCTAATCGTTATACCAAACATGCCCTAAACCTAAGAAGGCCGAGTAATATTTCTTAATAAATTTGATAAAATTAAAATTTAATAATTAAAATTAAATATTTTAATATTTTTAATATTAAAATATTTAATAGTAATTTTATTAAAAATTGAAAAATTAAAGTAACTTTTTTATTAAAACAAAAATCAATCTAAATGATTATTTTTAAAAAAGTAACCATAAACAATAAAATCTGTTTTTTTAATTTAGCTAATTGTTTTTAAAATTTGATACCTATAATTTTAATTAACTGATAATCTAATTTTAATACAATCAAAATTGAACCATACCTACCCCTACTGTTGTTACTCCTACTTGTTGGTGCCAAAAAAATTTTCTACTCCGAGAGTCTTCACCTTTAAATGTATTATAACTAGTTTGGTTATTATTAATAATTAATAATTGTAGTTATTAATTAATATTAATTTAAAATTAATATATAAATTAATATTTTTAAAAATAAAAAACAACTATTTAAAAAAATTACGAAGTGATAAAACAGTGAAATCAAACACACCTTGTGTTTTATAGTAACTGGAATTTGGAGTATTGCATGGATATTTTAATCTATAATGTTGAAGGAGAACGATGATTGCAATGAAAAACTAAGCCGAAATTTTGGTAACCGTTGATTATGATGTGAGATTTTTACGGGCCGCACATAATCAACAAATAAAAAAATTTACAATCATGTACATCTTCATCTAGAAATTGAGTATTCAGGTTTCTATGATTAATTTTTTCGTATAAATTAATCATGGGTGACCTGTTTTTCAATTAAACATTAAATAATAATTTATGCAATAAAAAATATGCCTTTCATTTCCAATCCCAAATCCCTTCCTACCGAGTCTCGACCGTAACTTGTATGATCATTGTGTATAAACCTTCTTGTATCTCCATTTTTCTTTCTTTAATTGCCCCAATTTCATTCAATTTAATAAAAAAAAAAATTTTAACGTATTTTAAAATTTAAAATTCAAATAATTAATAATAAAACTCAAACTCTTAACACATATATCCTGAGAAGCAAGGGTAGCTAATGGTAACGAAAGCTACTCCCATTATTATTATTTTAAGGGATTTTTTATATTAAATATAAATTAAAAATATATTTATTTTATATTTTTATTCTAAATTTATATAAAAAATAAAATTTAATTTTAATTTTATTAATTATTTAATTAAAATATTTCACATAATATTAATATTAAAAATAAAAATTATTTTTAAAATTTTTTATATAAAGTAATAATAAAAATATATAATAAATACTTTTTAATATATTTGTTTTTTTAAAATTTTATATTTTATTTAATAAAGCAATAGTTTGCATCTACAAAGCCTCGAGCCGAGTTGAGAGCGGAGCCAGCGGACGACGTCGAACTGGGCCTTGCAAACTTGCTACATCCCAAGTTTTCCGACCGCTTCAGCCGGTCAACTCCCCTAAGAAAACCGCTTCAGCCGGTCATCTCTTGCTACTTCTTGCTACTTCCCAAGTTCTCCTACCGCTCCAGCCGGTCTACCCAGACCGCATATACTAGCTTCTTTTATTGATCTTCTACACCAGACTTTGGCATTAGCTCTGCTGCAACTGGATCGGAGACTCTTAGCGACAGCTTGCTAGGGCTCATGGCGAAGGCAGGACAACAGGATTTCTTCGCAGGAAGTGAAGGGGGGAAGAATTCCCTGCCAGATCTTAATTCTGGGGGCTCTTTAACATACAGTAAGTCCTTCGTTGCTATTATAATTTCTTCAAGCTGTTAAAGCGATCGAAAGCCGCAAAAACGTCCGACACGATAATCACCTCACAGTTCCGTGGGTTTGTTTCCATATAGAGAAAACAAATTAATTAGAAAATTATATTTATTCATTATTTGTGTTTGGGAAGAAGTAATTGAAATGATGAATGATTTTATTGTTATGGGCTTCCTTGATGTTATTTATGTAAAGGAATTATTTTTGGGGTTTTTTTTTTTCTGCATTTTTTCATGCCTGAAGCTAATGATTGAACACTAAGAAGAAAATAAAAGATTTGAACAAATTACAAGATAAGAATTAGCTAAATTGAGTGAGAAATCTAATTTTATAACATGATTTGATCATTAGTACTGTGAATTTCTCAACTTTTTGCAGATGAGTTATTGGCAAGGACGCTACTAGAGTTGTCAAACATTACGGGAACGCAATTTGACAGCCAACAATATTGTCAACCAGCTGGAACGAGCAGTGGAGTGGTGCATGGTCAGCATCAAACCAATATCAATGTTTCAAGAACTTTTCCGGCTCTAGGGAAGACTGTAAATCTGAAGAAAAGAGAAGCTGACAGAGCATACAGACAAAGACAGAAGGTAACACTGTGTATCTCCTTTCTAATGATATTTCTCATTTTCATATATATGTTGAGTTATCTCACGGGTGGTGTAGTAAATGAATCTCACATCTCAACAATAGAGTGAAATTCAGCAAGTGGTTTATATATGTGGAGATCTATGAATTAAACAGGTTAGTATTTTGGTTTCAATATGATTTCTTCACATATTAGGCCCTTGCTTGTGCTGATGGTGATTGATCCTTCATACTATGATTGAGTTGTGAATCCCATGAGTTCAGCTCTCAGCTCTTGGAAGAGCATGCAATAGACCATTGAGTTAAGCATATTGTTACACTCATGAATAACGAATTGCCTACTAGCATGTGAAGGGGGGGGGGGGGGAATTGTTGAGTTGACATGAGTGGTTGAGTTGTGAATAAATCCCACATTAATAAAATAGTGAGCCTCATAGACTAATATTTTGAGTTTAAGGTACGGTCTTAGACTCATATGTCTTTGGTTTATTTGAACTCCCGCCACAATTTAATATTTTGCCTGAATTTTTGGTTCTATGCTTTTTACCCTGTTTTGTATTTCTGTGCATCTTTTCAGCAAGGGAAAATACAAATGCAAAACAGCGTAGACAGGCTTTCTGTTGAGAATGCAAATTTGAGGAAAGAAAATGAAATCTTGAAACTTGGCAATGCTTCAAGGGAAAAAACTTTGCAATGTCAAGCAGAAATTATAGATCAGGTGAAAAGGGATCTTGTCAAACTGAAGTCCAACAATGAGCTGGCAGACCAATTAGTAAGTCTCTCCAGGGTACCTTTTATTTTCTTTAATTTTTCTTATTAATACTTGTTTTGATTATATACAATCGCATTTAAACTTAAATCATGT